CATACCATTTATATGACCATGTTAACATAGGCTAGTGTCGGCTCATATACCCATTTACCTAACACCCTGTATAATAGACGACTAAATATCAAAATAAGTGGAAAACAAGTATTCAGTCATTAATCTACAAGAATTAGAAATCATCGTCGTAATTAACACAAACGATGAAATATTATAATAAAATTAATCATACAAAATGCTATTCTAAGGTGTTTTATCTCTGATCTCGCGTGGTAACATAATATACATACATATACATATACATCAGATAAAAACAAAAACATGAAGCATTAAAATCATAAATTTAACTCTAGGCTTTCCACGCAATTTCCACGTATTTCATGTTAGTAGCCAAATTGTTAGGAAAATAAAGTTGTTTATGTAAATTTTGAATCAGCCGCACATGAGAGAGCAATCCGCGTGAAATTATTTTGAAAAACAGCGACAATTTGTAATATCCGGTGAATCGTGCGTAAGCCTTGTGCGTGAATACTTTCGGGTTTCACAATTTTGTTTTTCATTAAATCGGTATTTTTATCAAAGGTATCGTAGTAAAAAACGATGAGCATACATAATTTCGCAATTTAAAATGCTTGTAGCTAAGAAAATGCTAGCTTTATTAGCAAACACAATGATATCAAAACCGGTGGCGCTTCTTATCAGCACTTGTCAAATGCATGTCTCGGTGCGGATAGGGCAAAAGGATTATGAGAGTATGAGGCTCTTTAAAAGCAAAATCTGACGATTTGTAGGTACTAGGTAATTGAAATAAGTCCAAACAAAGATTGATTTTAATGAACTAGCATCCCTTGGTGACTTGGTCAAAGTGAGTAAAAGGTGCCCATTATATGATATGCCATACAATACACACGAATTGAAATTACGAAAATAAGGAAAACATTATCGCTGAATTCCAAACTTTTTACAAGAATTTCATTTACTTACTTACTTATCGTATGCTTCATCTAATTTGACTACGGCGTAGTGAATTTTAAAAGAAAAACATTCATCCTTCGGTGCTTGGGCAAATATTTGTTTGTTGTGATAACTTCCAGTGGAGGCAGTGGGAGCGCCGCATCGGAACTTGACTCACCTTCGTGGGAAAACATAGTTGCTCATTAGAATAATATTTTGCCGAGTTAATAGCCAAGGCTGCTATCAAAACACCACAATAAATTTTAGTTAATCACCTCAGGATTTTATCTGAGTCGGTAAACATTGGATTACTTTTGATTTTTACGGATCATTTTCTAAATGGGAAATATGGGTGGCCTGATGGATTGACAGTCGCCATTTTCCTCGTTCGATCTAAAACTGGAGTACAGCAAACATCTATTTACATTATCTATGGACAGATCCATATTGTATTGTAAACAATACACCACTAAGATCCTGTGGGAACGGAAGTACCGGAACAAAATAAAACAAACTATACGCAACATACATTGCATAGTACTCTACATAGAGAATTACCATATATTTTTTTAAATGATGCAAATTTTAGTGAAAAAAAGAACTTGTCAATGTTTACTGTACTGTACATACAGCATGAAACTAAATATTTTATAATTATTTTTAGTTTGCCCAAGCATTGTTAGCCAGCAGTGAACTGTGCGGCTTATTATTAATTTTGATGTAACAGCGCGACTATTTGTACAGTCAACAAAACATGATACATACATTTTGTTGCGAAATAGTACTTATCAGCACGACATAAGTGACTTGTAATTTAGCTTAATATGCGGCCTGTACATAGCTGGCGTGAAGGGCCACGCGTTATAGTTTGGCATCACGCCAGCTCTAGGTGTAGTTGCAATAATGACCGAGTGACCGTGCTGATGTGACAAACTATATCGTAGTTTGAGTAGAATGTATGCGAATAATGCAGAGTTATCACTGACAAGGGTTAAGGGGAATTGTAGGCATAGGGTGATAATGACTATGATGGGCTTACTATGCAGTACCTTTTGGCTTGCAAATCTCGCCATTAAAATACTTATGTCGATAGCTATGGGTGTGCAGTGTATACCTAACGGACAGTGATTTTCTGGCAAAAGGTGTTTAAGGTTAAATTCATTGGTTCAAAAGACATAAGAGACTCGAAATAAAACCAATACTCGCTTTTTTCCGCGGTACACTATTGAAAGCTATACAGGATGACTGGTCTACCATAGTAGGCCGCGCGTGAATTCTAGTGATAATTATTACATATCCGATGCGCGCTATTTATAAATAACACACGTGGATAATTACTTCGTTCATATAAAATACGCAAACACAGTTAACTGCAAAGTTAACAAGTCATTACCATGCAGTGTAACCGTATAGTAAAAGTGAAACTCTCACATACTTACTTAGGAATAAAAAAGTCCTATCTTGGAACATTCACGGAACAGCACTAGTTTCAACATTATTCTTGAAAATAAATTGAATTGGATGTCATACAAATGTTCAAGCGTGTCGCGTCCAATGGCTTGTTCGTAAAATAAAGGGCAAAACGGTTAGGGTTGCCAGGTCCAAAAACACAAAATTATTTAACTCTAAAAGCCGGGCATGACTTTTTTAACCAACACCCAGAAGGTGGACCGACGACATCATAAAGGTGTCAGCAAGGGGCTGGACGCAGGCTGCTACCAACCGGGCAACATGGAAAGCATTGGGGGAGGCCTATGTTCAGCAGTGGACGTCCTATGGCTGAGACGATGATGATGATGAACTCTTTTAATAGCTAACATGCCTTATCACTGATACAATTAACAATTATTACCTTCAAATCGTGTGTGCTCGATATAATTCTGTGGCTCAACTTTCGACTGGCGTGGCAGCCCACATGAAAAGCCGGACAGACCCAACATGAGATTATTTGGCCGGACAAGTAGGTAAAGCCAAACATGTCCGGCTGAAGTCGGACACCTGGCAACCCTAAACACGGTGTAAAACTACACAACAAATAAAGTAAGAACTACACATAATAAATTCGATCAACAGGACACGCTACCTAAGAGGGTTCCATGTTTCGGGCAAAGGTCGAACAATCAACTTAAGTTGTGCTCAATTAACTTAGTTACCCCATAAAGTATGGTCTGAGTAGGGCTGTTGCCATTTATGTACCTATTACACACTACATTATTGGCTGTTTGGTGTAGTTTGGTCGCGGGTACGATTCCCGCTCAGTACAAACATTTGTGTACATACATTACCATATTAATGTTCGTATTCTTCCGCGTCTATTCTACCCATACTTAATATGTTTTGTATTTACAAAAAAAAGTATTTATTTACCCATAGTACAAGCTTTTTTCAGTTTGAGACTAGAGGCGCAGTGTCCAAGGATATTTATTTATTCATTTATAGATAAGTATTGGTTTTCTAAAAAGTCAGCCAATAGACTCAGGTAGCAATTAGCATGCATGCAGTTCTGAGCAATATGTATCTTAAAATAATAAAAATAATATTAAAACAAATAAAAATATTATAAATATTTTAATGTTGAATGCTTATCAACAGCTAAAGCTTCCATTATTCTGACAGATTTATAACGAGACCACCATCTTTATGGTCTGTATCGCGAAATTTATAAGTCGATCCAGTCCAATTTATTGTTCGTTTCGCTGGATGCTGACTGAAAATTGAAAACCAAAACGATAGCCAGCTATATGTCTCTTACTCTCATGGCAGGTTCTCGCGGTGGCTGAAAGAGACGGGTAGAGTCGGTATGCTAACGTTTTGTGCGGATTTGCAATAAAACAAAGCGAGGATTTGTAATTTAAGCGTACACTTTATTCGCTTCTTACGTTATTGCAGCTTTGTAAGCACGATTTCAATCCTTAAAATCGACTTAAGTGTAACTTATGAGTAGTTATTTACTAAAAAAAGCATCGTCTATATTTGAGTAAGCGCATTTTTCAGGCTCAAGCAGAGATTTTACTATAAACGTATACGTAAACTATAAACGGAAAATTACTAAGAAAACCGAATATTTTAAGACATTTTTTACCTTCTTCAAAGCTATCAGTCATGAATTATTAATTGTTATGTTACACAGCCTACACTTCACAAAATATTACCATAGCTATTCTGATAAAGAAAAACACACGGAACCTGTTTTTATTATGCCCAAAAATAATTGTTATTTTATTGCCGACAGCTAAAGGAAATTCCTCAAAATCTATTAATAAACAAGCTCTAAATTCTATTACGTTCACTTTCAGTTTGAAAACGAAATAATAATATTATCTTGCCACTTTAACCAAAAAATCCTGTCACGTTATCGAAATACAATTTTATAACTTAGGGCAATAAAATAAAGCTTAAAACTCCTTGACCCGTCCATGTCACTCTAAAATCGGGCCACGCAGCAGTCCAGGAAATCAGTTCCCCACATAAAACATATAGGCTCGTGAATGGAAAGATATAAAAATCCGGGAAGGTCCCCAGGGACATAAACAAAACACCCGCTTTGATATCGGAAACATTTAGTTCCCTTCCCCTGTGTGACTTATTCTGAAAACCGATCGAAAATGTGTCGATTGTTTTTGTTATTGTAACGAGTGATCACACGTAACTGTTCTTAAAATAAAATGTTAGTAAACGTTTTCGTAAATTTACTTACAATATAATAAGTGCCTATAAAATGTTTGTAGATAGCATACGATTTCAGTTATCAGCTGAAAACTGTGGCAAATAATTAAATTACAATTAACATTATTCCTTTCCGCTGTATGACGTTTTTGCAACTACACTGAGTGAATTTTATGTTATTGAACATTAGCTCAAAATCTGGGCGACATTTTTTATCAAGAAGCTTAGACGATATTAAAGTAGAAAAATCATAAAAAGTAGGCACTAGAAAAATAATAAAAGTAATAAAAAACTCGTTTTTCCGGAAAGAAGCTCAAATGGTTTTCAACGTAGAGTCTGTTTGTTCCCTATACTATAGGCATACTTAAAAATGTTGTAAACATCGTTACTTGTGTACTCACTCTTTTTTTTGTCCACAGTGAAATTAACGACATCAACCTGGGCCTCTTGGTAGAGGTGTGGAACAAAGGAGTGATCTGGGACCGTGCCCTCGGGTACCACTACTTGCCTCTCACTTCAGTGGCTTACACCGAGGTAAGTTAGAGCAGGATAAACACATACTTATTAATTTGAAAATATACTTGGTGGTTTCTCTTTGACTAGTACTTTGAAGGGACGCGGACGTTCCAAAACTCAAGCCTACTTTTAATACTTCAACCAATTATTGCTTGTGATTGACTTTAATTTTGTTACGGTTTTGTTAAATTTTATTTAACTTTGCACTAAACTAGTCCTAGTCACTTCCTAAGTCCTAGTAAATCTTTTTCCACTATCACAGTGACTTGAAATGGATTTGCAAGTTGCATTTTTTCTAACGAGTTGTGTTGTAACGTGTACCCATTTAGATACAGATAGGCGTTTGACATAGCTCAATAATATCCCCCGACGGCATAACTTACCACCTAAAATATTGGTGGATTCGACAAAACAAGAGTACCTAAATATTAAGCTCAGAATAAATCGTCAGTTATTCGACATTTTGACATAATATTTCCCATACTGAAACTGTCAATGTGCCAGTTATACCATGAGTTATTCTCGGATAATAGTTTGGTCGAATCGGGCCTCAATCATATTTATTTCAGGCTTCAATCATATTTCTTTTGCTCTTTAAAGCCCAACTAAATGCACGAGTGAGTCTAAGAGAAAGACAGGTAAGATTTAATTTGGTAGGTAAGTACTTTTATTGTCGGCCGTTTGGTGTAGTGGTTCAGAACGGACTACTATGCCGAGAGGTCCCGGGTTCGATTCCCGGCCGGGCAGAAATTGAAATGATGAATTTTAATTTCTGTGACGGGTCTAGGTGTGACTATGTATAATATTTATGTATTTAAAAAAAAAAGTATATAAGTAGTATATCCGTTAAGCTAGCACCCATAACACAAGCATTAAGTTGCTTACTTTGGGGCTAGCTGGCGCTGTGTGAAATTGTCCAAAGATTTATTTATTTATTTATTTATTTTATGGGTAAAGCCACATGTACTCGTAAATCTGTCTTTCCTAGACGTCTGCCTGATGCTGACATTTTAAGAGCCAATTTTACGCACTATGTCCTTTGGGTTTACATGGAATGTTCATTTCTACATCGAAAACTACTTACTAAAAGAAATTTCTCAAACGAACAATTCGTAAGAGTCTAGACTAGAAGTTAGTTCAATGAGCAGTAAGAAATCTTTTGGGAATAATATTTTCAACACGTTTGATGTAGTGTACCTTCTGTGTACTCGTATAACATTATACCTACATATGAATGCGAAAGAGTCATTTAGATGGAAAAAAAATTTCAATATTAATATAAATCAATAACAATCTTTTCCACGTTTCTATCGAGTAGGATCTTAACTATATGGTGTGCTTATTACCATATTGTAAGCAGGCACAAAGCGAAATTTTTCCTTGTAATTTAAATTGGCCTGTGCCGTGTATCTTGCTTGTTAAAAGGTCTTCCCTCGTGTAGCATTACAATAATAGGAACGTGTCGAGTAGGTACGTAACGATTTGTCCGAGAATCGAGACATTGATAAAGTATTCCGAATTCATATTTTATTGAAGTCCTAATAGAAATGGTATATAATGTAGATACAGGACAAAAAGCTACTACATAAGCCGCTGGTATATAATAGCCAAACGGCATATCATAATATAATGTATAAACTACTGTATTTATTAGGATAAGTTGGATGGAACAGCGATACCTACCTATTCCTTCATAGAAGTATTAATTTGATACGGTCATATTATGCGATGTAGTAAGCAGTCTTTGTGCTAGGATTGTACTGTATGTTAAGAGTTTTTATCATGGTCTAGATTTGACTGCGTTTTTTAATTAGTAGACAGTGAACTTGCTACTATATTCAAGTACTTCTGTGACCCAGCGTAGACATCATAAATTAGGTATACGCTATAGTAAGCAGTCTTTATTTTATTGGACCGTATCTAAGTGTTTTTATCATGGTTTGGATTTGACTGTGTTTTTTAATTAGTGGACAGTGAACTTGCTATATTTAGGTACTTCTGTGACCCCGCGTAGTCAAGTAGCGCTGAACAATGCTGCTTTAATTGACGCGCTCTCCACAGATTTTTAATTATTCGTTTTCGTGTCAAATGGCCTAACGATTATGTTTAATTAGTTACGTAATCGGCAGATTAAAATTTAATAAAGCCGTTATAAAGATACAGATATGGGTATACTTCTGTTAGGTTAGATAGTAAGAAATAGAAGCTACTGCTAGGGCTGTTTTCCGTCTCAGATCTCTACGAATCAAATAAAATAGTGTTATTAATGGTTAACGCATGATAACCGTGTAGGGCAACAAGAAAATAGGCTAGATGACAATTATTTGTCCGTTAGAGCGATAATTAGAAAATATTAGACTCGTTTTTTTATTTTCTTTCATAATTAAATAATAACAGTGCTACATCGAGTTGAAAAGGCGCGTTACGTCACGCCTATGTAGATTTTTTACTTAGAAGTGACTTCAGGCGACATTTCAACTCGATACAATACTGTTATGATTCGATTATGAAAAAATACATGTCCAATATTTTTTGATTATCTGTCTGACGGACTAAATAGAATTTCGATTACCCAGTCATCATCCCAATTGGGCTGAGCTTGAAGCGTGAAAAGCTATGATTAATGAATAGAACTCGTATACTCACTGTAGTACAACCAGGCGATAGTAGGTTGTGAATTATTAAAGAAAGGTCTCGCCTGTCGTATGTACAACCATGTCCAACCATGTTTTTTCATGTCTCCACATTGTTTCTCTTAACATAATGCATTTATTGTTCATTTTCTCCACCACTAGCAACCACTCAGCCGGCACGAAATTGTGATTCTTTCTACAATTTCATCCCCAGTCTCTGGAGTAACATTGAAAGTAAATTGGAGTCCTAAGAAATAATACGCTTAGACTGAGAGAGGCTTATTTCACAAGTATTTAAAATTTATAAGCTTTCAGTATTGAGTTTCATATTTAAAAACGATTCTTAAGAAGATTTTGATTATTAAAATGAAGAAGAATTTACTTAAGATCATTGTTATTGTTCGCTATAATAAATCTGTTGTAATATGGCCCCAATTAACAAATTTCCAATATTTTAAGATTTGAGCTCTAGAGTTTTTGCTTGTTTTGTATTTAAGATGTGATGATCATTATTTCGTAATGAAGTCTTTGTTTTAATAAAGTTAAAGATTTTAAGCGGCACTTTAGATTTTAGATATTTTAAACAATTCGTAGGTCAATTTTAACGTATTTTTGTGAAGGATAATAAGCTTACCAAGAATACTTTTTAAAATATAGACTAAAAGCTGATACAGTTACCTATGTTCGATAACTTTAAGTGCATGTCTGATTCAATTACTAAGACCTGTACCTTAATAGCAAGAATTAACTTCGGTCCAAGAATTAATTTGAGAGCTAGGCTTCGTAGACAATATAAAACAGCCAACCTAATTGTAAGACGGTAACACGGAACACCTTAAAGGATTTTAATACCTACCTACTTGAATCATATATTATTTAATCTCTGTGGCTGTACTAAATGTATGGAAGCAGGAAACATTGACTTTTCGGATGGATCCAGTTTAATATGTCACCTATTATTCATATCGTTTGATAGAGCTCGTGAAGCACTTTCAGGATCAGTATCCAGTTTTTCAATAAGTATCTTGTGTATATCAGAAATAATCGAGTGAGATCACTTATCGTATCCTCCCTGAATAGAAAGAATATTTATACATTGCTATGTGAATTTATGTTTGCCCGCGTAGAGGCACGGCCCTTCACTGAATCGTATCTCATATCTGTGCTCATATAGAAATGTATGAATTTGAATTTACGTAAAAATTAGGAAAGAATATTTGTTTCTGATCAACTTTAGATGACAATGTGGCTCATATTGTTTGATCAACACCGTTCAAATCCAAATCATAATCTTAATTTTTATTCAGAGTGAGCTGTCTGTTATTGCCAGGCTGTGTTTAAACCTATCATTACTCAGTACATCGGCAATTGATTCGATTATATCTGGAACATTAATGCGGGCTGCAGACGGGTAATGAAGTCTCCTGATTGATTGCCTCCTTTGAATGCCGGCAAATGTGCCGCGGAAAGGCAAACTGATTAATTGGTTGATGGTATTTGCTTAAAGTTGAGATATTTTAATAATTTATAGACGTAACTCACTGCGGCCGCCCTTCGCACAGTCGCGACAGCAACATAATTAAGCGCGAGCGATAAGGATGGGTAGCTTGGGGTCATTGGACAAAATTCTACGTACTCACGGACGAGGCTTTAGAGTAACGCATTTTCTCGAGCATTTCTGTGTAATGTAAACTTCTTGCGAATGGTACGATATAGGTAAAAAGGTATGACGTTTGGTTCGTGAAAGGGTGATAAACTAGAACATATCATAAAGCGACTCGTTGTTCTGTTACAAGTAAATGCTCTAGCTAGTCTATACACACCCTTATAGGAACATAATGACGCACTGAGTAGCTACAGGTATCATTACAGTCAACGTCAAATAGTTGGTGACACCCAAAATGGCCAAAAAGTTGACAACACCACCTTATTCCAATTGTAACAAAAGTGTTGCAAAATTTTTGGCTACTTTAAATGTCAGTAACTATTTGACACCGACTGTACGTGACGTTCCGTTGCAAACACCTTCATACAACTATACACTTTTTGTCGGCCGGCATTTTTGGTCGGCTTCTAATTAATTTGTCTGAGAAATCGGCCGATTGGTATGTGCGTATTTCCATACATGTTTGATTAACAGGCCGGCCGGCCGAACTAATGGGCTGACAAAATGTCTGTAGTACGTCTTATATTGATGCACTGTTCGTGAGTGAGCACCTGCTTATCTAAGACAGGTCGCTGCATGGCCGAGTCTTGAATAACAAATAAGAAAAGTAATGATTTTATATTAAGTGTGCGCTGCATTTTCTCTTTCAAAAATTTTCATTACGATGTTTTCTAGCTTAAAACTCAAAACACGACTGAACCAAATCACAGACTGAATGAATCTATGCTTGAGTAAGTCCACTTATGTTACGAGTATATTATTCGTAAATAGTATTTTGAGATGTATTCGACTGAGGTTTCTGTATGTCCAAAAGTTCTGTTTTCAGCTAAAGCCCGGTGTTTCATTTGTACGGGTACTTTCATTCCGAATAAGAGTTGCTAACATTAGCCTATAAACAAACTTTCTCATTTATACCATCACTCGGTTGTGGAACAGTGTGAATGTTTTATGTGTGGCTGAACGCTTTTAATTCCTATTTCTGTCTAGTCCAGTTTATGTAGGTATTTATGATTATTTTTAATTGTAGACTGGGCCTGTCATTATTTGAGTTGGGACCACTTTGCAGCGTCCCTAGTTTGGTACTAAATTGAAAATTTACTCAATTTAATTAAAAGTCTTATTATGTATTTTTAAACATAAAGGCTGAGTTGCACCACCTTATTTTAACCGTAACAATAATGATAACCGGCGCTTTTTGTATGGAGTTTGGTAGATTTTTGACGTTTGTAAAGTAAGATGGTGCAACTCATCCTTTAAGTAGGTAAATTCCAAGCATTCGTTATATTTGAATATTAATTTTGGTGTTTTAAAGCTTTCTTGCTCTTAATCAGAACACGATATTGTTTGCCTTTCATTTCTTGACCTTCCACGGTATTGCTAGTGAATTTCAAGAGATTGCAGACTTCAATTTAATTAATTAAACATTTACTTAGCATCACGATTCTAAGGCCAAGCGCTGATCAATGCTGATGCATCGCTGTCTCCAGGGATTTGCATAGGAATGTGTTTTATTGCTCGTCTGGCGCATTCGTGTTCGGTGACGTCTCCGAGGGTTATTGAATAATGTTAATTTGGTTGAGACTTGAGAATATTTCGACGATTAATGGGTTTGCAATGTTAATACAGTTTACATTGTGATCGGTAAAATTGGTTTTATTAAATACTTCTGAGATAAAAGATTACAGCTTTTGTCTTTATTGAGCAGTATCATAACTACGACAATATTTTGTTTATTCCATCTTAGATTTATTCGATATTATTTCCTTGATAACACATTAGTATCATTTGAAACCAAAGGCGTGAAGTTGCTGCAGTAGCTTTTTAATACCGATATTAATCACTCGTAGACAAGATTTTTAGCAATTTAATGAACACATCTAATTATTAGGTAGCAAATAGAAAGATTCATAGAAAATAATAGAAATCGAATCTGTGATTTTTGTCGTAATATTGCACGTCTGATCATTGCAATCTAAATATGAATTAGTAGGTACTTCAAAATTTACTTTAAGCTTTTGCTCCGATAGAGCCATCGGGCTGGTGCCCCATTTACTCTTACCTACACTTGGCTTGTGACCTTACTTGTAACAAGTTGCATGTTAACACATTGATGGACAGTAACGTCCTCCGGCGTTCAGGTAGGCTGATACGACAGAACGCCTATAAACGTCGTCGTTTTTACTCGTTTCACATTGACACTACTCCCATAGGAAATGTATGTGAATAAGTAGTGTCGTATTGGGAAGTAATTCTTAAAGCTTCAACCACACCAACGCGTGCAGATCGCTATCGCCGGCGCGATCAAAGGCCAATGACAGGTCGCGCGACCCATGCCAGTTCACGCGACCTGTCATTTCCCTATGATCACGCCGGCGAAGGCGCTCTGCACGCGTTGGTGTGGTTGAAATAGAAATATAGAAATATACATATTTATTTGTCTTTGAATAGGGTGTACAGAAAGGTCGAAAAAAACAAAATATGATCACCTATTCAGCCATCAACAATAGCATGCAAATACACTCAGCGGCACGGAATTTGGCCCAAGCCTAAACAACCAGATAGGAGGCCAAATAGGTGTTGTATACCTAAGTTTTGTATGATATGTTAACAGAACATTTGTTTTTGTTAATTTAAGAAGCTAGATTCATAAAAAAATGCGTCTGTTTAACTTTTTTGACTCTCGAAACGCATTTCGTAGTTGGAGCGCAAAGAGTACGGGCAAGTTTAAATTCGATATTAAATGTTGCAAAGGGTTTGGCGTTTTGTTTTTTGTTTTTAAATTAATCTTAGGGTTATTCTCGTTTCAATAATTTGAGAATAATGCCCATTACTCCAGCTCAAGTTGCTCAAATAGTGTTGCTTAGAAGTCAAGGGCATATGCAGCGGGAGATGGCTGAAACTTTCAATTTATTTATGTAGAATTTTTATGAATCTAGCCTCTTAAATTAACAAAAACAAATGTTCTGTTAACATATCACACAAAACTTAGGTATACAACGCCTATTTGGCCTCATAACTGGTAGTTTAGGCTTGGGCCAAATTCCGTGCCGCTAAGTGTATATCGAAGAAATCATAACTTGTGCTGTCCACCAAAGTGTTGTAAGAGGTTTCTGGGTCCTAACCTGTAATGTTATACAGCAGGAGTGTGGCGGGCGCTGGATCGAGCTGGAGGCACAGCTCATGATGCGCGGCGGCGCAGTGGTCGGCACCACCGGGCCTACGGGCCATGCCTTGCTGCTGGACTGCCGGTTCGAACCTCCGTTCGGTGAGTACCGTAGAATAGAACACGTCTTTTTGACTTCAAATTAGGCCTACTATTTCATCATCATCATCATGTCAGCCATAGGACGTCCACTGCTGAACATAGGCCTCCCCTAATGCTTTCCATGTTGATCGATTGGTAGCGGCCTGCATCCAACGCTTCCCTGCTACCTTTACGATGTCGTCGGTCATCTACTATTTAACTATCTAAATATTGTTTCTTAAATACAGGATGATTTTGCAATTAGTGCCCAAATTTTTAGGCGACTCAGAATCAGTAACTTATTCGATTAATGTAAAAAAATAATTGTTTTTCATATTGAATTATTTTTATCAGCTGCGCGCGGTTTCAAAATTGGCACACGTGGATTTATTTCGTTCATTGGAAAATACGTACACACACTTAACTACAAAGCTAGACATAATGGTACGCGAAAATTACCACGATTAAAAATAATTAAGTTAATTCTATTTTTAAATTGTTCTGTAGTACTTATTAAAATATTTGGATACTGATTGCAAAGTCACAAGATTGTATAGTGTTAATGCCTCCAAATAAGCTAACAACATTCGGCAGTTCAATGCCGACGAAACTCGGCTATTGTCTCATTTTGAATATCTCCACGATTGATTAGAGTTGATGCGTATCGATAGGGAAGATTTAAGAGGTACAAAGGACTAAGGCTGGGTTGCACCATCTGATTTTACCTTTAACAAACGTCAAAAATCTGTCAAACTCCATACAAAAAGCTCCGGTTATTGTTATAGTTACCGTTAAAGTTAGGTGGTGCAACTCAGCCTAAGAAATGAGGCTAATGACAATTAAATTTAAATCGAGTACACTCAAGATTATACAAGCCAGTTTGATCAAAATATTCAAATTCGACCAATCAGGCCCAATCTATGCTTAAGTTTGAATCGACTTCAGATTCTACAAGTGTTATCAAAATAATCATCTTTGTTTTACCGGTATCGATAGGAGTACTTCTGCGTTTCGAATAAAATATTATCTAGTTAAACTTTCTATCTCTCTAACTTTCCCCATACAAACTTTGGACCCCGGGTAAATTTTCAGTCTAAACCCAGCGGTTTGAGCTGTGCGTTGATTTGTCAGTCATTCAGTTTTGCTTTTTATAAATATATGTAGTACTTTTTAAAGAGATAAAGCGCGCCAAAGTTCTAATGAACAGGACCATGAGGTCAAGGCGTGCTTAAAAGTGTCAGACTTTGTGACGTCACGCGGAACTTCAACGCATCATAACTTCGTAATTACTTATTTGATTGACAAATAAAAATATACGTGTCCAATATTTTTTGATAATGTAATTGACGGACTAAATTATTTTTTTATAGGAAACTAGCCTACTTATTTGTTGTTATTGAAATCATTAGGGAGCCCTCAAGACTCCAAATGATGTATACGTCTACGGTGGTCTCTATCTCATCCTGACGTGTGAGCACTTTTCTCATTACGCCACGAAGGGCTACCCTCCGACACTCGCATCCTGTCCCACACACCCGATAGTAATGTTGATTAACTCTTTAATTAAGAATCTCAAGTTTCATTACGACAGTACGTAGGGCATAGTAGAGATTGATGTACAGTCATTAACAGTACCTAAACGAGTTAAAATTGTTTGAGTGGTGAAGTAATTTTTTTCGTGCATATTTTTTGATTTTTTTGAGAGATAACCGATGCAAACATACTTTTTAATTACCATTAATGAAATATTATTTATTATTTTGTATCAGTGTTGCCAGTCGGGTCTAGTCAGAAATTACCAGAAATATAAAAAAAAGTAACCTTTATACGGGGGGGGGGGGATGTTCATGGATGGAAAATGAATACAATTGATCATCTAAATACGAAAAGTGACCAGTCGTATAAAAAAGTTTCATGGATTTGCGTTTTATTATCGAAAAACATTCGCCAAAACTCATTTTTCTTAACAAATAATAAATCAAATTCAAGTTTAAATGCACTTTATGACATAATTTTTAAATTGTCACTATTAATATTTTTTACTGAATAACCTGTAAAGTTAATTCTACAATTTCTGAAAAATCACCTAAAAGTAACCTTTTCATTAGTGTAACCTAAAAGTAACCACAGCCAGTTCAAAAGTAACCAAAAAGGTTACAAAAGTAACCTTCTGGCAACACTGTTTTGTATAGTAGTTTAGATGGACTTGTAAATAATTTATCCACGTATTATGTAGGTGTTTTCGTTAAGTTCAAAGGTATAGAGTTCAGAATTTCTCGTAAATAAACTAACTTTAGAGGTACAAACAAAACTTGTAATATAAGTCGCAGTTTACAGTGAAGCGTGTTTATATCCGGCACGAAAGCTTTTAAAGTTGTTAACTTGATAACTGCATTATACGCTTCGTTTATCAGAAGCTTTACACGTGGCTCCGCGACGCAAACTTTAAAGATTTTTATTTATTTTTTAAATGATATTAACATATATTTTTATGGTTATAAAACCAAATAATGATCTCACGTGTCCTCTTTAACAGATGGATAGCGATTAATCCCAACTAAACAGTTTTATAGCCATAACAGTTGGCTCAAGCGTAACTACCTATTTTTTGAAGAAGTGACTGGAGTCTGGTTCCTTCTAAAGACTCATTTTTGGGGTGAAAACCTTTCCTTTAATGAAATGAAGTTTAGAACTAGGCTTTTAAATGGTGCCAATATTGGTGGGAAGTGGGGATGCATACTTTTGAAAGTGCTTGTCGCGGGAGATGCGATTTATTTGATGTAGAGTGTAGTATGTACTCACTTATAGGTACGAGTATCTACCGTATTAGGTAGAGTTCATTAGGAGGCTATTAAATTGAAAAAAGTCGATTTCGTTGGAAACCTGCTAGTAATAATATTTTTAAAATATTATACTAGTCACTACCAATAATTTATAATTCATGTTTCAATTATCTTTATTTAAGTCATCTTGACCTAGTTTTTTCTTCCTTTAAAGCCACAGCTTTTTTTGTAAGTGTTTGCACACCTGTTATTTAGTATCTTGTTTACTATTGATAGATTATTGCTGTACATCAAGAATCTAATTTTGTGATATGATTCTTTTTTTACGATAACACTAAGGTTGATTTGAAAATTAACTGCTATATGAATACGTAGATTTCCTTGAAATCAAACTTGGAAAGTCAACCCGACTCTTTGAAATTCATCTAGATTTTTCGTTTATGTAGGAAACAATATCTACGCATCTAGTACTCGCGTGTTCCGCTTGGTACAGGTAGCAGATTAAGCCAAACCTGTGGCTAAACTTTGTAGCCTCTTACATAGTAGTAATAAGACCGATATTGTCCAAAAATGTGTAGACGTATTGTAGACTGTACAACCTGACACAATTTATTAGTGAACAACAAGCTTCGTTCTATTTCTTGAATATGTTGAACTAGCTTTCCGCCCGCGGCCTCGCCCGCGTGGAATTTTGTCTGTCACAGAAAAACTTTATCGCGCGCGTCCCTGTTTCAAAAACCGGGGTAAAAACTATCCTATGTCCTTTCCCGGGACTCAAACTATCTCTATGCCGAATTTCATCAAAATCAGTTCAGTGGTTTAGGCGTGAAAGCAAGACAGACAGACAGACAGTTACTTTCGCATTTATAATATTAGTATAGATGTTGAATCCGAACCACAGATAAAGTGAGAGACATATAGCCGGGTCACTTGGCAGAGGTCTCAAGTGTGTCGGGAGGCGCCACGTCTGCCGACTCGGCCTTGCCTATTTTTAGGATTCAGTGGCCAGAGAAGAACCCTTGACTTTAAGGATCTCTTGGCTTTAGGCTTTGTTACGTTGCGTAAGTTATTCATTTGTTTCACACGTTCGTGAATTACGTAGTAACTTATTAGTAATCTTTCTGACAACGCCACTCTTGTGGCGGAGTTTTGGGCTGACACTGTGTAGGTTTGTTGTCGACACGACAAGAAGAAGAAGAAGTAATCTTTGGTAGAAGTAACTTAAACTTTGATTGATGCTAGAGATGATGATGATGATGACATTAAGATAGGAGAACTAAGAGATGACAGCTTGCTTATAAAAAGATACTATGGGAAACGAATAATATAAAGCTAACAAGTACTTTTCCTTGGAAAATTGCAGAAAATATAAAAGATAAGACACTTAGTTTGAGTTATAATAAGTATGCATGCCACGTACAAAAGTAATTTTTGCTATGTGCAAGCGGAGGTATCTAACTTAAAAGGAGAACATTCTTAAATATATCTATGACTTAAGTAAGTGCTATCACAAATTAACCTTCTCTGGGAAGCCGCCAACTGAATACAAAACTACGCACTTATTTTATTCAAAACTTACTACATTACATTAAATGGACTTGTATGGAATTCTTGTCAACGTCCAGTTCACGCTTGACCGCTTTTATATCCTCATGACGCTGAAAGGAAGCACCATAACGGCGATGTGCCGAATCCAAAATGATTTATGCGCCATTTTATGGTGGTTGTGATTTTTGTTTAGGTCAAAGTTACGCAATGCCTAGTCTAGCCAATTCGAATGTATAAATGACGGTATGTCAGGGTTAACACTGTGGCCTCTTATGTAGCTTTATTAAGAGCTATTGTAATGCAATAAGCTGTTAACTAATATGGTGATTTAATTGAAAATAAAAGGAGTAAAGTTTTTACACGACTTAGTCTGAGTTGCACCATCTAACTTTAAACTTGATATTTTTTCGTTTGTTCAAGTTAAAGTAAGATGTTGCAAGTTGCAACTCAGCCTTAGTTTGGGTTGCACCAACTTACCTTATTTATAACAAACGTCAAAAGTCTGACAAATTCTCTACAAATATAACCGGTTATACGAGTAGTTATACATATTACATAGTTACGGTTAAAGTTAAGTTTGGTGCAACTGAGGGTTATTTATGAACTTGATTTCATAGAAATTATGATAAATTTTCGAGCACTTTTCATATTATTCCTGCCTTGTTTCGGTACTTAATTTGCTTTAGTGGT